GCATGCCCTATAATTCATCTTCCTGACCCAGTTCAGAAGAAACCCCGCTTGCACTGGCAGGAACTTCTTTGACAGAAGGCATATCAGCAAGAGCCTTTGCTCTGTCTCACTCCACTGGCCACAACAGAAGTTAGAACCAAAGCAATTGTCTTGATAGCTGCTGTTGTTGCCATCATGCTTAAGGCTTACTTTAAAAAAAAAAAGTATTTTCTGTGTGTAGTAAACAGCAAAGGGAAGAACGTAGATGACACTAGTAGACGTTCTTGTAGTTGGACAAAAGTCTAAATGTTCACAGATAAAGGTTTTATTGGCTAAACAACAAAAAGACCTGAATTCTAACTAAGTAATTCTAACTTCAACTGAATTTTAAGGTAATTTTTGTCGTACATTCCTAGCTGTCTAAGCCTACTGAAATACCTACGAACAGTAATGCAATTTTAAAATCCAGAGGTGTGTTGCTATCAGACCAGCTGACTTGCCACAGTAACATCCTTCCTGCCAGTCCAACCAAATGAACAGGAACAAAAAGTCCTAAGTGCCTTTCTCTTCGGATGAACGACAGTATTAAATATAATGCTTCCACCAACCCCTCTGCAGTTTAAATACCAACGTAGCTTAAGTAAATGGAAAGTTAAAAGGATAAAATAAAGAGTCCAGCATGCTGTTCAGTGAATTAAAGCTGACATTAAATCTGGCTGTAAATTTGCAGTTCTCTCCCTGACAACCTATGGCATTAAGGTCTCTTGATTTTCTTTGAATGCAGTGCATTTAAAAAATTCTAATTGTAATTCAGTAGGAAATTATGGATTCAGTATCCACGTGACTAAAAGAGAATGAGATTGATCTGGATGTGTTACCTACAAATGTCTGGAAATGGTAAATATCATATTTTGCGATTAGCATTCTGCCCCATGGAAAGTCTTAGGCATCCATATTGAGGCTGATGCAGAGGACTGTTCTTATTGCAGATACTCTTACAAAATCTTCTCTGACTGCCATTTTGATACCTACTTCTTGCCAGCTGGTACAGTTAGACAAAGCTGTAAAATGTCTGTTCTAAAACAAATAAATAAAATGGACAACAGTCATTCTCCTCAAGCCCCTCCTGTTTTATTCTTCAGTTTTCACTCAAAATACCATCATTCTGAGGTGACTTTACAGTTCTTATTTGGAAAGTTCCCTTAGAGTTGACAGGAATTTTGGTCACTCAAAGATACAAAATCTTGAACTGTTCTGGAATTTCCACTTCATTTTTCATGCCACAGAAGGACTTCCCCTTCTTTCCACTCCTGTGAAAGCAACTTAGTCTGGTGTAGTTTCTGGGATCTTTGGGAATTCCTAGCCATATTTGGGAATCCCTAGCCAGACTCAACCCCTCTGTGCCCCTACTCTTCATGGTGTTGTCCCACCTGTTCCAGTAGCCTTGCTTTGATAAGGTAACAGATTTCTCTGAGCACAAGGCTAAGAAGCAGCTAGGTGAATGTCCTCACTATCTTCCAATGTCCAATGGCCACAGTCCTACTAAATCGGCCCCAGCATCCACATTTGCTTCCTTTTGCACACTTGCTTCCTCAGATTAAGGCTTCTGTATTGCCTTAATCTGAAGTTTTGTGAGGTCAGGCAAAGGTGTAGCAACCTGGCAGTGCAGATCCATAGGGGAAAGCAGCAGTGAGAGCTCTCTGCCACCTCCTTCCTTTGCTTATGCACAAGAGGAAGAGAAAACCACTGTCCCTTGCTTCAGCTGAAGATGAGCAGGTTGTTTACATTCTTCTCAAAAAGCAGTCCCCTCCCTTAGTTCAATGTGGGCAGGACGCATCAGAAATCTTTTGACAAAGTCTGATAAGGTAAACGAGGCAGTGAGCAGATAGTTAGGCTATCATGCGGTCTGCTGCAGACTTGAGGCCTCACTTTGTGTTCCTGATCCTCTTTCATTTTTCAACAGCACCCATAGTAGATTAAGCTAAAAAAAATCAACACATCGTGAAACAACACTGCAGAACTTGCAGAACTGGGGTCGACACGCAGATATTTTTGTAATTTCAGTGTCCTCAGTGTAGAATCTTTGATGTGGTGCCAGAGGAGATGCAGTATAAATGGGACAGGGATACTTTACCTGTACGAGAACAAACAGTACCCTTCAAGCACAGAGGTTAATCTCTAGATCTGTTCTTTCAAATGTAGTGGGCTGCACACACATTTAAACGCTGGTGGGTCTGTTTCAGAGGATGGAGTTGCAGAAACACAAGATTATTCTCTCTGTGTATGTAGACATATTGTTAAAAATATGAATGTTTGCAGTTCCAATATAAAATATTAGCACATATACTCCTGGAAAGATTCAATCAATTTAACTATGGTAATTTAATATTTTTACCTTTTATTCTCTCAAAGTCAAATAATCATTTAAACTACCTTACCAGATCTACTGTAGCCAACATATATTTTACTTTCCAAGGAGAAGATTGAGACGAAATTTCCAACTCAGTCACAGTTAGTTAAGGAGGGCTGTACACGTCCCAGTTAAAGCTGAAAGCTTGGAGCCTAATCTTTAGGAGGTGTACAGAGTTGACAGGATAAGCAAAGATGGGTTCAACCTTCAGGTGGCCTACTGGTTTGCTGAGGGAGTGCTACCAGCCTGAGTTATACCTCTCTCAGTGGTTGAGATCCATCCTGGGGACAGGGGCAGTGCAGGGAGGCAGTTTTCAGTCAGCTCACATTTCAAGACATAAGCAGCCACCAACTTCCAGGCTTCTCTATTTCTGGGTCAGAAAACCCAAGCTGCCAACTTCCTCAGTCGGCACTGAACTATAATAACAAAATTCCTGGATTTATGACTTCATCTTATTGTCATCAAACTTGCCTGTATGTGTCCCCAGATAAACAGCGGTAAAGCAATACAGACTGAAATACAAGCTGCAGATAACAGGGATGCTGAGTAGCCCATGGAAGTGGAGCCATGACTTCTAAGAATTTCCTAGATTAATACTGCTGAAGATCCTGATAGCTGGGCTAAAACAGAAGCTGTCCATACTCAGTTTGGGATCAGAAAACAAAAGAAAAAATTAACTTAAAGTGAGGCCTATAGAAGAAAAGGCTTCAGCAAACATTTTCCTGTCCGATGACAAACAGTCTCCCCTTTCTCAGATGGCTGCCTTTTAAATAACCAGCTTGCATCACGGCATCTGAACAGAAGGAAATAACTGAGCTTATCCAGGAGAGCTGCAAATGGGTCAGGCCTGGCTACACCAGTTTGTACAATCAGCATTCCTAACATCCACAGGCATCCTGCTGGTACCCAAAAGCTAGGAATGCAGGCGATGAACAATGAATGAACTGAGGAGCTGCTAGCTCATCCAGTTTCTTGTAGCTATTACTACACGGTGAATAGCTCCCCAGTCAGCAATTCATTGTGATTGCAGCGCGTACCTGAAAAAGAGGTGAATACTCTCATGCTTAGCTTGACAAAATGTAAGCTACAGAAACGATAACGCCGTTGTAACTAAGGGACAAAGTTTTGTGGGAAAATACTGCTGGTAGGTGGATGGTTGGACCAGATGGTTTCGGTGGTCTTTTCCAACCACGGTGATCCTATGATTCTATGGTTCTAAGTTAAACGTTCCAAAAGCGTTTAACCAAACCATTATCTCAGCGTTGTGCAAACTCGGTATAAAAACCTTGTTCAGGAATTCAGGAACCAGCTGGTGTTATTAACATATGACTGCCATATTGGCTACCAACTCCTTCTACCAGTCGCTAATTTATAGCAACTGCTCTAACCGAAGTCATTATTGACTAATTAGAGCCCACAAGAAACAAACCGATGAGCCAGGGAAGTTCCATAGCAATGCACGCACAAGTGCACACTGCAGGCTGCCGCCAGAGACTGGGGACGTAGCAGTTGGCTATTCAGGCTTTTACAGAAACGCTTTTGTGGCTCTTCTGAAGGGCTGGTAGTTCGCTGGCATTCATTCCACCCATGGATCACCAGGTCCTCGTTCCGATCCAAGCCTGCGGATGTTCCCTTGCTCGTTCTTTGTTTCACGCCGGGACCGCGGTCCTCCGCCGCACCGTTTTGCGCTCCGCGATGCCCGTGCGTAAAGCCGAGGCCGTTCGGCGGAGCGCTGCGGCTTCGTTTCGTGCGGCGCGGCGGTAACGCGCTTTGTCAGCAGCGCCCAGCGCGTACGGAGCGGCCGCGGCCCCGCGCGCTCCCGAGGAGTGCGGCGGCGGGGCGGCAGCAGGCGGCGCAGGACAATGGCTCGGTGCCGCCTTCGCTCGCCGCCGCTCCCCGCGCTCTCCCCTCTGCATCCTCTGGCGGCGCGGCCGCGTCCGGGCTTCACCTCCTCGCACCTCTCCTGAGGAAGCGCTTCATCCCCCATTTTTTCTCCGCGAAGGCATTTTTTCGCGATTCCCCACCTTCTTTCTTCCCCCCCCCCCCCCCCCCGTTTTTTTTCCACACGGGCATCTCTCTGTCCTCCCCCTCCCGGCGGCGCGGCCCCGCCGCAAAAGCCGTGCGCGCGCTCAGGAGACGCGGGCACGCGCCCTGCCGCAGCTGTCCCGCCGCGGCTCCGCCCCTCCTCAAATCGCGCCGCCATCCAACGGCGACGGCTCGAGGGGCGGCCGGCGAGAGGAAGGGACCCGAGCCGAGCGGCGGAGGGATCGGCGGGGCGGAGGGATCCGCACGCTGGAGCCGCTCGGCAGGAGGGAGGAGGGAGCGGGCGATGCGGCGCGGAGCCGCCGGTCGAGGCGAGGCGGCCGTTATCTGAGAAGGGGGGGGGCGGCGGCGGGGCCGCGGGGGCGCGGAACGGCGGCGCGGGGGAAGGGCGAGGCCGCGAGGTGCGGCCGCGGGCCGGGGTGTGGCGGCGGCGTCACCGCCCCGCGTCACTGTGCGGTAGCCTGGGGAACGGGCGGTTGGCGACTGGGAGCCGCGCCGCACGCCGACCACGCGGGGCTCCGCCGCCCGAGGAGCGAGGGTTTGTTCCGCCTGTTTCGCTTTTGTCTGAAATCTCGGGAGCCGGGCAGGCTCCCCGTGTTCTTCCCTTCCCGCCTCCCGCCTCTCCGGCATGTAGCGGGAGGACGGCGGTAGAGGGGCCGCGATTCGCACGGGCGGCCTTTCGGACGCGGTGCCGTTGGAAGGAGGAAGGTTAATCGTGGCCGCCGGCGCCGCGCTGAGGAAATGGGGCTGGCTGCTCACAGCTGAGTCCGTCCGCTGCCGGGAGCTGCCGCGGCGTGGGCTTCAACCGTTCTGGCATCAGGGAGGCACGCCGATGCCGGCCTGTCGCGTGTAAAATGGATAACGAAGTCTTCACCCCCGTTTTGAAGAAGTTCACGCGCAGCCCTCTCGTCACATGGGTAAGCGTTGGTTTTTTTTGCTCGCCTGTCATTCATTGGTTTCCTTCTCGTTGGCGTTGTGTCATCATCCGGTTACTGCTTTTCAGATTCGGACGTTTGGACCCTTAGCAGAAGAGAATGGCAACAGCCTGGAGGAATACCTGACGCTGGTGGATGGCGTATTTCTCAACGAAGTCATGCTGCAGATGTAAGTGTGTGCGGCCCCGCGCCGCCTGCCTCTGTCCCTCTCCTTGTCTGGAACGTTGAGCTTTCTTACCAGAACTGCATTTTATTTTATTTTATTTTATTTTTTTCCTTCAGTAGTAGCGTGGGTAAATAACTTCTGTCTTGGGTGGCTTGAGCAGTCCTGTGGTGGGTGGCAGGGAGACTTTGGAGCAGAGCAGATGCTCTCATCTGCTCAGACGATGGTGTAATGTCCAAGCGATGTGATTCCAGGATGGGCTCATCATGCAATCTGGAGCTTGCTGGAAAATGAGATCGCTTTAAGTGGTTTCCCAGATTTCCATGAGAAGCATAACGGTTCATTCTGCTGTCAAGTCACGATCATAAACAAGGTTTTGAATAAATGCACTGAGCTAGTAAGATTGTGATACCTATCTTGGTTGGCACCGTACCTCCTAAGGATATACCAATCACATCACGTTGTTTGCCAGTGGAGTGGTCTGCTCATCAACGCCTTCTGCTTCATTTCTCACAGTTCAGAATTTGAGTAGATAGCAGTCGTGCAGTAAAGCTGAAACTGTGAGTGCGGAGCATTTTTTGGCCACGAACCACAGAAGAGCTGTTTTTACATAGTCTTCTCAATTGTTTATTGAACGCTGCTTAAAAAAGCCAACTCCATCATTAAGAGATGGCATAAAATCACACATGAGTAAATGCGTAGCTTGCTAGTTAGAAGACATATAGCTCAAAAAGTTCCAGTCAGAGAAATACCAGCATATCCAACTGTGTGTTGTGATTATTATTTTTGGTTAAGCATAGTTTTGACTGAAATGTTGCCCACTACTGTAATACTAGCATGTAATATTTTTGTGAGGAGCGTAGTGATGTAACTTAATAACGTCAATAATGGAAGAAAATACTCAATTTTTGTTATATTTACAGAGGAAGACAGCAAATCTATTTGCATAGGTACAAAAAAAATATGGGCTTATGAATGATGAGATAGATAAACCAGCACATGAGCAGCTTGTGATGACAGCTGTTCCTTAGCACTGCACTCATGATGGACATCCTGTTACTCACAGTTTTACTTCTACACACGTACTTTTATAGCTTTTTCTGTTGGTATCGAGCTCACGTGAATAACCTGTACAACAAAATTCTACTTGCCACATTTAAATTTGAATTGTTATCCTCTTGAAATCAATGCCTTCTTTGTCACTATGACTGATTTATTTTTTCTTGGACTGCATATACATGAAATAGCTGGTCAATTTTAAGTGTGCATTTAGCATATAGAGCTTCTGTTTGATTAAAAATGTTTGACAGCTGGAAGTAGAAGGTAAATTTGGTGCTGGAACAAAGTGATTTTGAAGAATATAACTTCAAAATTGAGCTTTCTCGGTAAGTTTTTACAATATTAAGAAAGTGTAACCTGATGGATGTGTATGTGGTGAACGTTTGTGTAACATGGGAAGCTGCAGGGAGAGAACAATCCCATGCTTGAGCACTGAATTTGGCTTTGACAGCATGCTGGGATGACTGTAGTTTACTTGGAAGGAGTTGTGTGTAGATGTGTAAACACAGGAGGGAGGCAGAGAAAGAAAGTTTGGCACTTGGAACAACTGAAAACTACCTTAAATTAGAGGAAGCTGTACAAGTGCTGACAGTAAATCTAGTTTTACAAATATGTAACTACTCTGGAAGGTGTGTTTAATTTAAAATACTTTTTTGGGGAGTTAAGATATGTTGAGATTGATTACTACTTAGAAATGAAACTTCTTCCAGAACCGTATTCTTATTTGGGAAGGGGTGAGGGGAATATGTTTGTTTTTCTTTTGCTAGGGTTGAAAGAGGAAAAAAATGTTTCGTGTTTTGCAGACAGATTCCATCTCTGGTGAAGTCAGTGGAAAGCTCTGTTAGCTTCTGGTCCCTTTGAAGATCCACATATTAAAAATTCATCTTCATTTGCAAAAAAAAAAAGCATTTAAAGATGTAACTTCAATTAACCATTGAAATCAGATTTTCAGTATTTCCTGTTTTATTAGGATTTTTCTTTTTGTCCTTTTGGTCTTAACTACCATATGTTGAGGAAACGTAGCAGAAAATGTAACTTTAAAATCATCTTTATATTTGGAATTTCTTTACGTTTTGTTTGACTTTTTTCACATGAGACATAGAGGTCCATAGTTACGGGTTATGACACAGTAATTCTAGAGAAATAGTGTTGCTCTTGCAGAAGTGATCAGGAGTGCAGTGCCTAGAAAGCATCTGTGGAAGTTGCTTTTGACATGAGTTATGTCATCTAGTACTTGCTGTTTACGTTAGTTGAGAGATGCATGGGATGCTGGTGTTCTGGTGTGAGGATACAGCTATCAACCATCTGCTGGGTAAGGACTGTGGTGTGTTGTTGCTGTGGGTTGCATTAGATGCTTTCAAGGAAGTTGAGGATATGAACAAGTGGAGGCTGTTAGAGGTGTTGTGGTCTTGCTGCTCTGATACTTGAATATGTGTTTTAGTTCTGCCAAATGCTGGGGGGGAAGTTATAGGCATGTTTTAAACAGTTACATATTACAAAGTTATTTCATTCCATAGCAGAATTTTTTTTGTTCTCAGCAGTGGTACTGAGATGGCTGTGTTTCTTATTTGTTTTTCTGCTGGAATTGACTTTATTGGTACTCAGTACATCAGGAAGAGAAAAACAAATTTGTTACATTCCTTGTATGCCTTTTGCTGTTGAAAGTTTTAGAACATGTGAAAATTGCATGGATTCCACTGGTCTGGTTAGATCTGGAGAGCTCTTCCTTTACTGGAGATGCTACAGGCAAGCTGTTTTTTGTTTTGTTTGTTTGCTTTCCTGTTTTTTAAGGTGAGTTCTGATCTTAGAATATCAGCTCCTGACTTGAGAGAACATCCCATTTCCTGTTTAAATTTAGGTCAGTTTCTTCAAAAGTATTCATTTACCCACCTTCTGCTAGGAGCAGTCTGTGTCTGATACATGGATAGAAACCCATCTGTCTTTCTAAATCTGGGCCTTCAGCTTTGTGTTCTTTGGTACAGAAAGGAGTTATGTATCTTGGAAGTAAACTGCCATGCAGGGGATCTCCTCAGTCAGAGAGGTGGAGGAGCCTACCCACAATAGTTCCTACCTTTACCATGAATCACAGAATCATAGAATGGCCAGGGTTGAAGAAGACCACAGTGTTTATCTAGTTTCAACCCCCTGCTGTATGCAGGTCACCAACCACCAGCCCAAGCTGCCCAGAGCCACATCCAGCCTGGCCTTGGATGCCTGCAGGGATGCTTTGATGTCAAAAGGCTTCTGATGTTAGGAAATGTGCAGGTGCTTGAGTGATGTATGTTGTGTGCTGCTAAAATGAAGCAATAGAGTTCAGCAGATTAGTCAGCCCTTGCACGTCTAGTAAATAATACCTACTTGTTTGGGTAGGGATGTATGAGTTGTTCTTTTCAAGCAACCTGTGAGACTTTGCAGTTGTGTACTTTTATTCAAGTAATTACAAGACTGGGACTTCTTTTCCATTTAGCAGCACCATTGAATATTTATGAAAAAAAACAAAAAAAAAAAAGATTCAAACTGTAACTTAGTTTTAATGGCTTTTTTTTTTTTTTTTTACTCTGCATTTGTGGAAATGGATCTGTTTCAGTGCAACTGTTGGGCGAATAGCATGTTGTTCAGGGTGAGTGATGTGAAGAACCAAGCTCTGGAACTGAGCTAACATGATGCACTGCCTGGAGAACCCGTCTGTTTTTGTGTCCGTCTTCCATTCCTAACCGTTGCATTAATTGACTACGTCCATTGGTACTACCCGCATTAGTTACCGCATCAGAACGTGTTCAGAACTATTTCAAAGGAAGGAGCATTTTGTTTTTCTCCTGTTTTTCTCCATTCTTGCTGTTCAGTCACAGTTTTTCACAGTCTGGATCTGCACGCAGACCTTCCACACCCATAGAATTTTCCAGGTGGACTGGCTGACAGTTTTCTTCCACTACTGTGGTGGTGTGTGCCTTGAATGTGTAGACTGCTTCATTGACTCATTTTCTGAGCTCTCAGTCTTTAGTTGCATGCTTTTTTTTTTCCCAAGCAGTTGAGCTTGCCAGCCCATACTTCTGGCTTGCTTATATCTTCTTCTGAAAACTGGACTCCATCTCCAGCGCTTCGGCCAGCTGCCTGGCTCTGTGAAAGAGAGCAGGGACGTGTGCTCCAATCCAATTAACTCTTTCACGTGAAGGCCAAAGAGGCAGCTTCGGTCAGGTTTTGACTGGGCAAAGGGATGGGAAAAAATGATTTAGGGAAAATTAAATTGGTGAGTTTGGCAGCAAAACTACACGCACGCGATATTTTAGACAAGTGGCAAATAAAATGAAGCCTGTACCATTCTCATGTGTTGAAGTGGATGGATTTGACTCACATTTCTCAAGCTCGCTCTGCCAGGCTCACATGATGCAGGTAAATGTCACTAGCAGTTTCGAGTTGCTCTCAAAAGTGGTTTTGCAGGAATATTTTCTGCAAGGTGTTCTTCAAAGAAAGCAGTGTTTGTGATGGTTTCTGCAAAGAAATTCTGTAAGAAGCCGTGCAGTAGAATGTGCACTGCAGTCGAGATTGCTGGAATTGAAACCTTTAGATTACAAAAACTAAAAGGTACTTTTATGCAGTGTTAGAGTGAGAGTGGTTAATTTTAGCTTGAAGCTGGCTGCAGGCAAATGTTCAGTCGTGCAAGTGAGGTGAACGTAGGTTGGTACCTGTGCTTCTGAGGTGCTTGAGTTCTTAATAGGTAAAGGGGAAATAGAGTGTAGGCTGGATATGGAATGTATGGAGTGTGTGACCTTCTGGCTACGTCTCCATTTTTTGAGTTCTTTGTGTCTTTTTCCGCTGTTGATGTCCAGTGTCCTTCATCCTGTCTCCTTCAATTTATTTCTGTGTGGTAAACCATTCAGTGGTTCACTCTACAACTTTGAAGGTTAGGAAGCAAATGGTCTAATCGTCCCCTGCATACGTACGTGTCC